TACGCAGACCTGGCCGTGAACACGGCAGCGCAACGCAGCTGCCATCCAGCCCCTAAACGCCTGGACGACCGGGTCACTGCAGAGCTGGCTTCGAAGCTGGACAGCAGCGCGCTGGCGCCGGCAATCGCACCTCTGGCCACGGCAGCAGCCCTGGCCACCGCGGACGGGCAGGTAGCTGCGGCATCGCTGCGCTGCAGAGTTCGCTGACCACGGGCCTCTCGAACAAGGCTGACCAGTCGGCCTTCGACGTGCTGGAGGGCGTGGTGGCCACGAAGAGCACCCCGGACGGCGTGGACCTGAAGCTGTCGAACTACAGCACCATGGCAGCCATGAACGGCTCCATCGCCTCGGCCAACAACGCCACGCTGGCCACGGTGGCAGCCAAAACTACGGCCACGGGCGCTGGGGAAGAAGCGAACGACCTCCCAGATAGATAGATAGATGGATAGAGATGGATAAATAGATAGATAGATAAATATGTAGATAGATAGAATCATAGATAGATAGATAGATAGAGAGAGAGAGAGAGAGAGAGAAAGAGTTTGAGAGAGTTTGCATTTAGGTCCGATGTTTTTTGGCAGACCCATCAACGTCAACATCTTCATCACAGGGTCGGCGCGGCGCAGTAGCTGCGCACTCAACTTCACCTGTGGGTTTCCCACGCAGCAAAGCTCACTTGGGACCTGGGAGGATTCCGCGGTAAGTACTTGGCAACTCGGATTTCATGCAACGTGTCTCCAGCTAAGAAATAGACCAAAAAAGGTATTCTTATTGACGTTTTGAGTACACTTTGTGGTTCTGGCATGATGGAACTTTGCCGGAATGTGTGTTTCTGGGCGCCAACATAGGCCCGCTAACCCTTGGCCACGCTCTACTGACAATACGACGGTTATGCTGATGATACGACACTGATAATGATAACAATGATGATGGTGATGATAATGGCGATCATGATGATGATAACGACGGCGATGATGGATAACGACGACCACCTGGATTTGAACCTCAATTATGGTGGCGGAGCAAGTTTTCCTACTAGCAGTGGTAAGGAACTGGAGTCATCGACTTGCAACTAGTACCATTGCTGATTTGCCTTTAGACACGGCGGCGATTCTGTAAGTGATGCTTGTAAATATTTGAAAACATCAACCAAGCGTCTTTATTGATAGGTCAGAACTACCTAAAAGCAGCAAGGCCGGTGGATCTGATCGCAACACCGCGCGAAGGGGGAAAAGCGGGGAGAGGGGGGACTCCGTCGCGCCGTCTGTGAGAAAGACTGCTTGCGTGCCAACAGTCGGCGTCGGCGTCTTGTTTTGATGCAAGCAAGTCTCAAATGTCCTGGTCCCCATTCTTGACGGAGGACTCGCCCAGGATGCCGTTGTTGGGTGTGTTGTCGGTTGCTTTTCTTAGGGCGGCGGAAAAAATTGGTCCGGGCAAAAAAAAATGTGAAAACTGGCGCGAATTTGCGTGAACTTGTGTGTGTGTGTGTGTGTGTGAGCGTGTTTTTTTTTGTGTTGCGCATTTTTTTCAACAGAAACCCCCCTCCCACCACAAAACCAACCACCTCGCGTGAGCTGTCCTGGCACGTGTTACCCGTACCTTCCGAACGTCGTGGAGGACGCCACAGGCCAACCTAAAGAACATCCTTCAGATGGAGGTGGAAGTGCTTGCCACCGAGCCTGAGGAAGCAGCCGCTGATGGTGTGGACGATCCCGTGCGTCCAGCTTGCACTTCAGGAAGGCGCCCTGTCGGGACTCTTTGAGGCAGCTCTGCCACCTGTCCTTCACGTCGCCATAATCCCTCCAAATGCGGTTGGGCCGCAAAGACATATCGTTGATACACTGTTTCTCAAAGGCTTCGGAACGGGGCACCTCGACCTACCTGGAGAGCCTCGGGGTCAACACAACACATCAAAATGGGCTCAGGCCAAGAGACGGCCTCGATGCAGAGGGTTTCCCAAAGCCACAAGCCTTCTTGACCTCTTGCAACTTGGTGCGAGCCCACATCGTCAGACGGACCCCTCCATCTCGGCAAGGATGCACGTCCGCTTTTGGAACACTGACCAACAAGATCCAGAGGCCCGAGGCCCCTGCCGGCTGCGAGTGCCAGGCCCACATCGAAGCAGGTCTGGATCATGGGGAAGCAGTGCGGGTTGGTGCGATGCTGCTGGCGATAGTAGTCACCTTGACTGGGTTGCCGGTCTCTTCCTATAGGGCGAGAAAAATAGTGGTCCGACCAAGGTGTCGGCCCCAAAAAGCGCGTTTTTGGTCATTTTTCCGTAAATTCCGTTTTGGCATGGGTTTTGCGCACGATGTTTGCATGACAGGTTGCATGACAGGTTGTTGTTGTTGTTGCTCACGATGTTCACGCTGTCGGTCGTGGTTGGAACGAAGTTCCCCCCAGCATTTGAGCCTTGTGAAGGCGAGATTCGGCTTGCTGCAGCCTTTTGGGGACGTTGTCTAAGGGTATGGGGCGGTGGATAACTCCGCTTGCAGGTGCAAGGTTTCGGACTCAACACAGCTTCTTCTGACCCCACGTGCGTTGACCAGGTGAGGCCCGTGTTTGCGAGCCAGGCCTGTTTTGTTGTGTGCTTTCCCAATCCCGTCAAGTCGTGCCGTCAGGCCTGTCAATGGGCCTGCCGATCCCCGACCCTGAAAAGCAGGCGGCTTTCTTTGAGCAACATCCCCAAACTCGTCAAGCCGCGCCGGCAGGCCTGCTGACCATCGACCTTGCGAACAAGGCCCTCGTTTTGCGGTGTTTCCTCAAGTTGTCATGTCTCGCCGGCAGGCCCGCAGATCTTGGGCTCGCACCGCCATCATGTTTTGCTGGCCGTGCTCTCAACAGTTGTGTTTGGGTTTTCCTTCTTTTGCGCCGTGGAGGTGGACTCGATTTGATTCCTCGACTTCCCCGCCGAGCCCGTCCGGTTCCGGTTCCGGCCTCAACCCCTAGGTCCCCAGGTCCCCTAGGTCCCCTAGGTCCCCTAGGTCCCCTAAGTCCCCTAAGTCCCCTAAGTGCCCTGGGTCCCCTGGATTTGCTGGGTTTCCTGAGCGGAAGACTGGGGGCATATTGACAACCCTTAGTGGACTTGGGGAACAATGGATTTAAAGGGACTTAGGGGACCCACGTTTTGCTGGCCGTGCTCTCAACAGCTGTGTTTGGGTTTTCCTTCATTTGCGCCGTGGAGGTGGGCTCGGTTTGATTCCTCGACTTCCCGCCGAGCCCGTCCGGGTTCCAGCCTCAAGCCTAAGGCTCCCCAGGTCCCCCCAGGTCCCCTAGGTCCCCTAAGTCCCCTAAGTCCCCTAAGTGCCCTAGGTCCCCTGAATTTGCTGGATTTCCTGAGCATGAGACTGGGCAGCATTTTGGCAACACTTAGCCAACCCAGGGGATGTAGGGGAGGGACCTAGGGGACCTAGGGGACTTAGGGGACTTAGGGGACTTAGGGACTTAGGGGACTCAGGGGACCTAGGGGACCTGCGGGCTCAGGGTGGCTGGGGCATTGTTCAGGAGGGCCGGGGGACTTGGGGTACCTAGGGGGCTGGGGTGTGTGTCACCCTACTGTGTTTGTAGCTGTTTGCTACTTCACCTGTTGCACGGCAGCTCTTGTCTTATTATTTTTTCCCTGTATTAAAAAAGAAAGAAAACAGAGACAACGATATTGTGAAAGAGAACATAGGTTGCACGGCTCTTGTCTCATTCTCTTCTTATTTTTTCCAAAACGAGAAAAATAAAAAGAAGGAAGAAAACAGACGCTGATGTTGTGAAAGGGAGCAAGAGCAAACAAATACCCTGACAGGAGGAGTGCAGTCGACCAAGCACCCCCTTGCCCCGTGGCCTGCTTGACCCTGAGTCCTTGCCCCCAAGTCCCCTAAGTCTTCTGAGTCCCCCAAGTCCTCTAAGTCCCCCAAGTCCCCTAAGTCCCCCAAGTCCCCTAAGTCCCCTAAGTCCCCTAAGTCCCCTAAGTCCCCTAAGTCCCCTGGGTCCTCTAGGCCCCTAGTTCCTGGAACTGACAACCTTTCAATTCGTCACCCAGGGGACCTAGGGGACCGGGGGACCCTAGGGGACCTAGGGGAGCGGGGGGGGGCCGGCCCGCTCAAGGCCGTGCGAGCGGCGAGCACTTCATCTTCGTCCAGCGCGGGCCTTTGTGGGAGTGAACACATCTCTTCGCCTTGCAGCCCAGGGGACCAGGGGATGTAGGGGACCCAGGGGACCCAGGGGGCCTAGGGGGCCTAGGGAGCTTGGGGCTCTTGAGCTTTTGTGTTGTGAGAACCTTGGTTGATGGGCAGCCGTTTTGGCGCAGAGACTTGCCGCAATCACCGCAAACTGCCATGTCAGACTTTGATCGGGTGCCAGGGTTGAGAGCCGCCGGCGGAGAGCACCCCCCGGAGTCAGAGTGTGAATCGAGCAACCAGGAAGCAACCCCAAAGAACAAGACGGAGTACTTCACCTGGACGCTGGCCAAGAGGCCCCAAGAAGGAAGCGGAGTCCGTGGCTGCGCTTCAGAGGGCTTTGGCCAAGTGGACCCCTTCTGACTGTGAAAGATTCCGAGGTAACCCAGGGACTTTGAGAGCTCAAAGGAATCGGGAATCGGGGGTCGGGACGCTTCTAGTGGATCCAGGGATGCTAGGGGACTTGGAGGACTTGGGGCACCCAGGAAACGCTGGGCTCCGAGGGAACCTAAACAACCGCGGATCGTGGCACCTCTTTCTCTCTCCGAGCCATTGAAGCTTGCAACCCATAAACCTGTGAGACTTGCTTGAAGACTTTCAGGACGTGGTAGAGCCGAAGTCAACCTCCTTCAAGACCTTGAGAAAGAGCTGGGAAACACTGCGCTTGTGGTGGCTTCGGATTTGACGAATCAGCGAACGCCATGCGAAGCGTGTGAACATATTTTTGCTGGTAGCTTGGCCCAAAGAAGCGCTCAGAAGCAGCGCTGCCGACGGTCCACGCACACAGTGCAACAAGTCACCTTATTAAATCCACGAGGGAAACACTGCGCAGCCATGGGCATGGAGACTATGAAGGGCAGGAGGAGCCGAGGCTGGTCAGCTTCAACTCGTCCGGGTTGAGGACTGATTGCTCTCAGGTGTGTCCTTCCGCTTCTTTCTGGTTGCAATCGCGTGGCTGCTCGTACACACGGCCAAGACCTCGGCAACATGTTTTTCAGTGCTTTGGTTTGCGGGTTCTGGCCCCAGGTGCATTTGTTCACCATCCCTCACGGGCGGATTTCACCGAGTCGCCCGGGCTGGAAGGACACTAGATTCCTGGCATCTTGGCTGTGTTTTGTGTGGTGCCGCCAGGATTCTCGCGGGCCACAGGTCCAGATCTCGGTGTCGCTGTGATGTTTTTGCCTAAATTTCAGCTCTTGAGGTGACACGCTGGCACCCTGGGCGTGGCGGAGTTGCTTCGCGCGCCAGCCCGCAGCAGGACGCTCCAATCAACAGTTGAAAATTTGGCCGGTCGCCGGTGCCAGGATAGCGACGCGGAGGCCGGGGGCTTGCGTGCCAGGGCTAGACGAGAGGACCTTCGGACCCAAAGCTTGCAAGTTTGGACGATTGAAGTTGCCAGGACAACAATGCCGAGGCCTGGGGGACATGTGCATCAGAACGCTGGGCTTCTTGGCTGCCAGGACCAGCTCGATCTCGAGGAGGCGGCAGGCCTTCAGAGAAAGGACAGGTCCCAGCTTGGCCTCGCTCAGGCGATTGCAGAAGCCGAACGGGTGCTGCAGGACAACGACACGGTGGAAAAGATAAAAGCTGTCTTGCGCCGCTGGAGCAGCACATGGGTCGGGGTTTTCAAGAGCGGTGAAAGGTTTGAGCTCAGGAAAAGCGCAGAAGATAAACCCAGGGAAGTGGACCCTTTCAGGGAAGAAAGACGAGTTGAAGCAAAAACTGCGCGAGTTCGTGGAAGAGGCAGGACTGCGTGCTTTGTCTGAGATTCTGAAGGGCAAGCGGCACTGCTGGGGTGTGTGAGTCGAGTTGGTGCAATTGGTCCGCCAGGATTCCCACAGGGCACAGGTCCAGATCTCGGCGTTGATGTGATTTTTTTGCCTAAATTTCAGCTCTTGAGGTGACAAGCTGGCACCCTGGGCGTGGCGGAGTTGCTTCGCGCGCCAGCCCGCAGCAGGACGCTCCAATCAGCAGTTGTAAATTTGGCCGGTTGCAATCGTGCCAGGACAGTGGTGCGGAGGCCGGGGGCTCGCATGCGCCAGGCTTCTTGTTGGTGAGTGCTGGCAGGACTGGCTCGCCAAGAGCTGCGAGGAGGTGGAGGGCTTCAAGAAGGCCCAGGTGCCCAGTTGGGCAGAGGCTGTGCTGATTGACGGCGGGCTGGAAGCAGACGATGAGTTCATCCAGCGGACGGTGACCGCACTGCAGCAGCAGGGCGTCACCGGCAAGTCCCTGCTGGAGCTGACGCTGGAGAAGCTGATGGCAGCTCCGTACAACATCCCTGGCGGCCCTGCAAGCTCTGGTGAGAAGAGTCCGGCTGTGTTGCAAGAGCCCCAGCACGCTAAAAATCGGTGCTCTGACTATTGGTTCTGAGACATTGGTCCGGTGCATGGGTTTTGAAATTCCCCCCGCGGCCCGCAAATGTTCAAACAAAAGGGGACATCGGGGAAGGGGGGGGAGGGGGGGGGGGGGGGGCATTTTGGGGGGGGGGGGGGGTTCGTGTCGTTGGCAGGCTCGGATGGACCCCCCATGAACGGATGGTTGCCTTTCCTTGTTGGAGGTACATCATTGCCGCTCGACATTGATTGAGAAAAGCCGACGATCGTTGTGAGTGATTTTGTTGCCCCCAGCCTGCTTTTGAAAGAGCAAGACCTACCCGTCTGCCGGGGAGAGGGAGGGCAAACTCTGATGTCTTTGCACCCATTGGGGCCCTTGCTGCTGCAGGCACAAGTGCATTCTATGAATGTTCTCTTTGATCTCCCTGGCGGTGTTCTTGCTCGATGTTTTGCCCGTTGTGCTGCCATCCCCTTCTAGTTCTCCGTACCTGCTCATATCTGGTTTCCCCAGAATCGGAATTTTTGTCTGTGGGACTGCCCTCTGATCCCACCCACAGAACCGGAAAATCCAGAGTTGCGTTTGCGCGGATTGCGCTTGTGCAGATTGCGGCGTTTCTTGTAGAAAGCAGCTGGCTGCATTGTTGACGTTCTTTGAGACGTGCCGTTGGTCGTGTTGTGCGGTTTTGATTTTGTCCCAGCCCTCGGAAATGCATTCAGTGGGAGAGCCCAGCGCTTCCTTTTTTTGGAAGCTGGTTGCATTTTGGCAGGCGCAGTTCGACTCGGTGTGGAGCCCCCTGAAACGGATGGTTGAGCCCAGCCACACCCCCCCCAGCTTTGTCTCTAGGGGCAGCGGTACACACATTCCTGCTGCCTGGGCTTTGTTTTGGGGGATAGATTTTCGCACAGTTAAAGGTCATCCGTTAGACGTTGTTTTGCTCTTTCAGATGTCCGAGGCTAGTTGTTGCAGTGTAGTAGGATTTTACGGACCCTGCCTGTTGGAAGCCCCACATGCCTGGTTTCATGTGCTAGGCATTGCCATCTGCGTCCTCAGCCACCTCCTGGGTGCAGGAGGCAGTAGAGGTCAAGTTCGATGTTTTTATGCAGAACAGTAATTTCAGCATGCTGAAGAACTGGCGTACGTACAAGCGCACCCTACCGGTTCGGGAAGTGAACCAAAAGCCATTGCCTCTCTTCGAGTTGCTCTACTTCGGCAATGATGCGGACGTGCAGACACTGGGAAGTCTACTCGCGAAAGTGCCAGGGACGACGAGCCGCTTTGTGGCTCCCTACTTGACGGCTCCCGGGGCATATGGCAAGACCAGCAGTGTTTTGCCAGCGTTTCTCACCAATGACGATCTTGGGCTGTACGTCTACATGAGCTTCTCCAACAATGCAGAGCGGCGCCATGAGGGACCCAGCGTGGGAATGATAGAGACAATGCACAGCCAGAAGACAAACCCGGACCTAGCTGGAGTCGCGTTCATATGCGAGTGCCTCAAGACGCAGCTGGAAGAGGGAAAATACGTAAGACTTGATCCGCTTCCGGAGTGGTTTACGTCAATCACTGATGGTACTGCTGATCACATTGACAAGCTGCGTGACCAGATCAAGAAGTTGCTACAAGAAATCCGGCCACAGCAAAAGCTTGTCTTGATACACTTGGATGAGCACAAGAAGATGTGGGAAGGCAAAGATGCCCGTGCCATACAGTTTCGCCGCGCTGCGGTGCAAGCCCTGCTAGCAGTCGACTTTGTGAGAGTGATTCTCACATTCACCGAGCCGCCAAGCTTGCCGGTGGATGCTGCCAGAAACACTTCAGCTTTGGCTCGAGTTGCCTTGCCGTTCGCGAGGGCAGCCGCAGACAAGGTTGCGCTGCATTTTTGCCCAGACATCCTCAACATGTATGGGACGCCTATGGACTGGACAGCGGCCGAACAGAGGGTGTGGGCGTGTTGCTTGCTCTGGGTGGGTCTCTGCATTGATGTCGAATCACCGACTGCATTGCACCAACCAGACTCTCAACTCAGAAAAGGGTTTTCGTCGCTGACCAAATGGCTACGCAGCAAGGGCGCAAAGATCTCAAAAACACAGTTCCTTGCCAGATTCGGTGAAACGTTTAACAAAGTCCGAGACTGGGACAAGGACAAGAGTCCATTGGATACCAAGGTGGTCAGACAACTGGCGGCTGGAATCCCAGATGCAGATACGCCTCAAAATGAGGCATTCCCAACATTGGTTTCTGTTGCCGGGCAGCGCCTGTGCTTGCCATTGTTTCGATTGCTCTACGTCCGGCCACTGAACCAAAGCGAACTGTCATCATGCTTTTGGAGATCTCGTGATGTTTTTCTGGAGGACATGAGAAAGGCTCCCACCCAAGTCTTGGTTGGATCACCTTTGGAGCGCGCAGTTTTGTGTGCCTTGACATGCAGGGAGTATCTGCCTCTCCCAGGTCTCCCCGATATTCCGGTGTCCTTTGAGCAGCTCGAGCCAGGGAGGCTTTTCGAGAAAGTGTCTGCAACAGGTTCAGAAGTCCAATTGGCTCGTGCGCTTGAAAGCCTCAACAGCAATACGCTGTACTACGATGGACATGATGGCACGGAGGGCCACCCACTGGCGGACATTTGGTTTTGTGCAGATCCTAGATGGCTAGTGCTGCTGGACTGTGGCGGCACGAAGAAGAAGGCCAAAAAGAAGATGTCGGCAAAGCAAGCTCAAATCCGCCAACTCGTCAAGGATGGTTGCCTTTCTGACTGGAAAGTTACGGTGTTGATTTTCATACCTGCTGCGCCCAGTGAGACCATAGCATCATCGACCCCGTCGCCCAATGTTGATATTGCCATCATCGCTGGGAGTTTGGCAGCAGAATGGCTTGGTTCGTTGTCTCAGCTCTTGCAATACCTCCCGGAAGACGGCTGATCAACACAAAGTCTTGCCGGTTCCCAGACAACGAATGGGTCTGTACGTCTCACAGGACAGCTGCCTTCTGTGCAGTGCCGTTCGATGCTTCTTATGCGCGTGCCAAAAAAATCATGCTTGCCAGTGCAGCATTTTGTGGCAGATGCACCCAGCCCAGAACTCTGTACTGTAGCCCTTGAAGCAGACCCGGACTACTTGCTTTTATATCAAGAGCAACGCAAGAGACAAAGGGTTTCGTTGTCAGAATCGACAATTTGAAGCACCCACCGCTTGCTCAGCAACACGGAAGGATACCCCATGACTTTTGAAGAGCTTGTATACGGCCAGCTTTCGGCAGTGGATCGTCGCAGGCATAGCTAGAGTTTGTTGCCGTAAGCAGTGGCAATGGTTCTGCGCAAAGCGACAAACCGTGCAAAGCGTGAAGCCATCAAGAAGTGGCGGATCAATTGTGATAGATGTTGATGCAAAAGACGAATGATTGGAACTGGGCAGCTCATCAGCAATAGTAACAGTTAGCAACAGTAATGCCACCACAAACTTTGTTGTGGACACGCAAACACAAGGAGGCGGCAGGCCTTCAGAGAAAGGACAGGTCCCAGCTTGGCCTCGCTCAGGCGATTGCAGAAGCCGAACGGGTGCTGCAGGACAACGACACGGTGGAAAAGATAAAAGCTGTCTTGCGCCGCTGGAGCAGCACATGGGTCGGGGTTTTCAAGAGCGGTGAAAGGTTTGAGCTCAGGAAAAGCGCAGAAGATAAACCCAGGGAAGTGGACCCTTTCAGGGAAGAAAGACGAGTTGAAGCAAAAACTGCGCGAGTTCGTGGAAGAGGCAGGACTGCGTGCTTTGTCTGAGATTCACAAGCGGTTTTCGTGCGACGCAGGCCACCCTGAAGGGCTTGAAAGAGGACGTCCGTTCGTGCGCACTGCTGGGGTGTGTGAGTCGAGTTGGTGCAATTGGTCCGCCAGGATTCCCACAGGGCACAGGTCCAGATCTCGGCGTTGATGTGATTTTTTTGCCTAAATTTCAGCTCTTGAGGTGACAAGCTGGCACCCTGGGCGTGGCGGAGTTGCTTCGCGCGCCAGCCCGCAGCAGGACGCTCCAATCAGCATTTGTAAATTTGGCCGGTTGCAATCGTGCCAGGACAGTGGTGCGGAGGCCGGGGGGCTCGCGTGCGCCAGGCTTGGTTGTTGGTGGGCGCTGGCAGGACTGGCTTGCCAAGAGCCGCGAGGAGGTGGAGGGCTTCAAGAAGGCCCAGGTGCCCAGTTGGGCAGAGGCTGTGCTGATTGACGGCGGGCTGGAAGCGGACGGTGACCGCACTGCAGCAGCAGGGCGTCACCGGCAAATCCCTGCTGGAGCTCACGCTGGAAGAGCTGATGGCAGCTCCGTACAACATCCCTGGCGGCCCTGCAAAGCTTCTGGCTGAGAAGATCCGGCTGTTGCAAGAGCCCCAGGCACGGCTGGAAAATCGTTTGCTCTTGACTTTGTTCTGAGACATTGGTCGTTGCATGCGGTTTTGAGGAATTCCCCCCGCGGCCCGCAAATGCTTTCAATGGGGCTGCCCTGATCGCATCCAGAGAACCAGGAAATCCCAAGATAGCATTTTTGCAGATTGCGGCGGTTCGTGTCGTTGGCAGGCTCGGTATGGACCCCCCATGACCGGATGGTTGCCTTTCCTTGTTGGAGGTCGGTCATTCCTGCTGGTCGACATTGATTGAGACGTGCCGTTGATCGTTGTGAGTGATTTTGTGCTTGCCCCCAGCCTGCTTTTGAAAGAGCAAGACCTGCCCGTCTGCCGGGGAGAGGGAGGGCAAACTCTGATGTCTTTGCACCCATTGGGGCCCTTGCTGCTGCAGGCACAAGTGCATTCTATGAATGTTCTCTTTGATCTCCCTGGCGGTGTTCTTGCTCGATGTTTTGCCCGTTTTGCTGCCATTCCATCCCGTTCTGTTGTTCATTTTTCTCCGTACCTGTTCATATCTGCCTGATTTGGTGTGAGTGTTTAGCGCAAAACTATCAAACAGTCGAGGGGGAACCCGCAAATATTGAAGAGCCTGCTGTTCCAGTCGCCTGCCTTTTGAAGAGCAAGACCTACCCTTCTGCCATGGTCGTTGCTGCTGCAGACACAATGCAATCCGAAGGTTAAATTTTGTTCCGACAGCACGAGCATGGAGGAGATGGCTAAAGTGTGCACAATGTATTTCTGCTGCCGGGTGACGTTGAGACGTGCCGTTTGACGTTTTGTGTGGTTTTGATTTCCCCCGTGGAAATGCTTTCAGTGGGGCTGCCCTGATCACATCCACAGAACCTGAACGGGGTTCCTGGGAACTCAGTGGTTTTGCTCAGCGTGGAGCCCCACAAAAGGATTGTTGAGCTGAACCGCGCATCTCCCGCTTTGCTTTCATGGGCAGTGTTCCTGCTGGAAAATTTGGTTTTGTTTCGGTTTTGGTACCCTTGTGTTCCTCGCTTTCCTAGTGCTCGGCTTTCGCACTAAGTACCCATGCTTCTTGTGGAGTGTTGTGAATGGTTAGCGTTTTGCAAAAACACGAACATGCTCGATTCGCTATGAATGGTCAGCATTGTTTCTTTGTCTTGTCAATGCCCCCTCTCCGGCAGTGGCTTTCCAGTCCACTTTTGCTTTTGGTTTTGTCACTGAGAAGGTCACTGAGCAGGTCGTCACTGCCAAGGACTTCAATATCGCTGCTTGCTTGCGACCTTCAGATGGTGACCGACCCAAAAGGTTCCTAGAGCTGGACTCTTGCGTTGATGACTGCATGCAGGCAGTCCAGGACAATCTGCCACAAAGAGTACGAAGCCGCGAGTGCCTCCTGCCATGCTCTCCCGCTGCATGCGCGGCGGCAAGACAACAATGCTTTACAAGGTCTTTGACAGGCTGAAGAAGGAGGAGAAACTCCCCATTTTCATCAGCTTCAACGGGGATTCGCTCGTCTACAAGCTCGATGGCGAAAAGGTACTGGACACTATGCTGAGGGCCATTGCTGTGAGTCTAATGAAGAACAAGCCCGCAGACAAGAAAGATGCAGAGCGGGTGCGCTGCAGCGAGAAAGCCTTGAAGGCATATCTGGCGGACAAGCAGGACGTCGTCCTCGTCGTGGATGAGCTGAACGTCTTGCTCAAAGCCAATCCAACCGGTGGCCACCAAGATGTGGGGAGATTCCTGCGAGAGATGTTCCTTGACCCTGCAGGACGACACCTCGTGTTCAGCGCCCACATCCCCACCAGCGCTGGCCTCGATCAAGTCTTGGGCAAGGGCGCAGGAAGCTCTCGTACGGTGATCCCCATAAAAATGCCCAGGTGCGCTGAGGTGCAGAGGCTGAGAGGCATACACCCGAACTGCGCGGCCTTGACGCCGTTGGAGGCCTCTATTTCGGCTACATCCCGTCCCTGATCTACTCGGTCAAGACGGGGGACTTGGACCCGAAGGAGCGGTTCCGGATTATCGCACGTTTTGCAAAATCGGAGGAGCTCCCAATCCTGGCAGAGTCTTTCCTGTCAGAGTTCTTCACTGGCGAGCGGGGTCCAGACGACGATCCAGTGCGTGCCTTCGATGCCCTCACCGAATCCCCAGCCCAGGGGCAGATCCGGTGGATTCTTGCCTACGTGGGACAGATGTGCTGCCACCTGGGTTGGAAACAGGTTGGTGCATGGATCGAGGAGCTCCCGAGCTGGTCGGGAAAGGTTGAGAGCGGCCAAGACTGGGAGACCGTGTTGCTGGTCGCTCTGTGCCTTCGATGCTATGAGGCCAAGTACAGCGAGCCCCACGAGCTGCTGGGACTGCCAAAAGGGGCTCTACGGCCCGCCGCGGTGTATGTGGAGAAGGTGCCGCAGGAGAATTCTACCAAACCAACAGTCATGCTGGCCTGGTGGAAGGAGCAGCGGATCAGAACATACCCCTACATAGCGGTGCTGTCGCCCACTTTTTCTAAAACGGAAATCGTGGACGCCATGTGGATATATCAAGAGAGCGCAACGGCCAGTTGCCTGGTGAGGGGCATGCAAGCCAAACTAGGCAGCGCCTACCCGAAGCAGGATATGCCACTGGGCATGCTGGGCTTGCTGTTCCGTGGCCAGGCACCGGACACCACCCGTAACTTGGAAAGGCAGCGGTGGAAGTATCTAACTGCGAGCGAGATTCAGAGTTTTCTGGGCAAATCTTTGACGGCTGCTTGTCCCGCTCACTGGCCCAACGTGACACGATGAGCCCTGACAGCGTTGTGTCTTCCTTGTCTCAGGGCTTTTTGGTACAGCGTATTCAGTTTCGTGGCAAAGCAGATTGAAGCCAGAGATGTAATCACAGACAAAAGCTTGTCAGACCGCGTGCGTGCCACTGGCAAGCCTGGAGTGAGTGTCATGGGAATGTGGGAGACGTTTTTTCCTTTTGGTATCCTTTTACAACCAACCAGAAACGGCATCTCCAATTTTGAGACAAACCCACATCCAAGTTCTCGGGTCATTTGTTGATCATGGTGAGCAATATTTTTTCCAATTAGCATATTGGCCCCAAGTTGGTACAGTGACAATTAGCCGGCCAGATCAGGGCCTTGGGCATCGTTGATTACACTTGCAGACTCCACCAGCTGAATTGGGGCTAACATGCAGTTTTATTTTCAGGAAATGTTACACACTAAACACCGCCTGATTCCCAGTTGTTCAGTGGCCCTTCAAAAAAACGATTCCGTTTTTTTGAATTGGTGTACATGTTGAAAGGGAAGCAGCCGTAGAAGTACCACTAGACAACTGGAGATTTGTTCGCCAAGATCGCAGAACCAACAGTGTGGTCTTTTCAAAGGGCTGTGCGATTCGGTTCTGGACCCACCAAATAATTGGCCATCCGTGCCCTGATAGTGCCAGAACTTGGGCGGGCCGAGCCAGCCAAAGAGGCTTTGTCCAGCTGGACCCGACCAGCAAATGGGAACATTTTGTCATAGTAGTTAGAGTGGTCCTTGCCCGCGTGTGCATTTAATTTTTGTCCTTCAGTGGTTTGGTCTGTTAACAAACATTCGCAATCGCTGTTGCTCGTTACGAGTTTGACTTTGATCGAGCCCCTCCAACCTTTGTTTTGATCGTCCAGCGTCCAGTCTCAGGGGGGGGTGGCAGTAGGGTCTCCCGGCCCTCGGTGCTCCGGGCGGTCATTGAGTCCACGGCCCGCAGTTGCCGCATGTCGCTGTACTGTGGGTTGAAGCTCCTCGCCGCGTACGTTGGTGCTCGGAAAGCCCCTGCGTCCTCCACGGCCTTGATGCGCCGGTCCGTGAGGTCCTTATTGTGCTGGAACTTGTCGGCGTTCCTGTAGAAGCCGGAACTCGGTGGCCAGCTGCTTCTCCACATTTTCGGGGGTGCCGTATACCGTCTCGTGTCGCTCAGAGTGGTCTCCACTACCCGCGTTTGCGGGCCACGCGCGTGGCCAGGTCCTGGATGCCCCGGTCCACTATGGCCGTACGTTGCGATCGGCGTGGCGAATTCGCTGCCCAGGTTGTTCGTGACCACGAAGTTCTTGTCATCCGCCACCAGCTCCTGCGTGGCCCGCTTGGTGGCCTGGCCGACCGCCTTGGCGTTCTTGTTGAGCACAGCCTCCACAGCAGCCTCCCGGATACAGACGTCCATGACCACCAGGCGTACCTGGTCTTCCCTCGGGTGTTCTGGCTGAAGTCGATGAGGTCTCGTTCGGCCCCTCCGCAGCCGAGTGGGCCTGCCTGCCCACTCCGTCTTGACCCGGCTGTCCGACAGGTCGGTGAAGCTGGTGTTGCAGACCACGTTGCCCGTGTTGCCGGCGATCACCAGGCTGAGCGACAGCTGCGTCGAGAGACTCTTCGTCTGGACCAGCGCCTCGTCGCTGATCATGATGAGCTCGCACTGGTGCGCCCCGCCGTCCCGCTCCAGGAAGACCCGCGCACTCTGGTTGTCCAGCAGCCACAGCTCCGGGCCGCTGTTGGGTGCCGCGCTGTTGTTGGACCTTGCCCCAGCCCGCCCAGTTCTTCGTCAAAATGAGGTCGTCCGCGAAGTCGGAGGTGTTGGCACGGTGAGCGTGTTGGACGCAAACAATTGCGGGGCGGAGACCGTGCCCGAGCTCGTCACGTCGCCGCACACGACGCTGCCCGTCGACACGCCGCCGCTCGTGGCCGTGACCCAGGGTGGCCAGCGTGACGTCGTCGGCCCCACCGTCGAGAAACTCGTGCTTGAGCAGCAGGGCCGAGGCTGTCGTGTCCGCCTCGACCTCCGTCGAGTTGCCGGCCCTCCAGGGTGGCGTTCCTGCCGTCTGGTTGGCCAGGCCCGGCGCCTGGAAGTGCGCCCCGAAGTGCAGCTTCGCAATCCCGTTCGGCGGCACGGTGAAGTACATCTTGGCCGTGCTCCAGGCGCCCTGGTCCCCCACGAAGCTGCCGTACAGGGGGTCGTAGACGTCGGCCTCGGACATGTGCGCCACGAAGTTGGAGGCCGTGCCGAGCCGATACCGGCAGGCGAAGAGGAGCTCTCGGCCGGGGGTCAAGTTGTTGGTGCGCACGATGTTCCAGGGGTTCACTGCCAGGGTCAGGGTGTAGCCGTCCACGCTCACTTCGCCCACGGTGTGCGTGGCCAGGACCACGCTGCACCCGCTTTGCCAGGGAGACGTCCGCGGGGCCCAGGATCTGGTTACCGATGGCGGCCACCACCTCGTCGGCCCCTCCGTCGTCCGGGAAGCGCACGGCTATAAGAGGCTGCAAGAGTGACTCCGAGCTTGCCGGCCAGGAGGCTGTCCACCTGCGCGATGGTGTAGTAGCTGAGCAGGGCGGCTGCGATGCTCGACGGCCGTCGCCGTGTCCTGGTCGGCGGCCGAGCGGTACGCCGCCAGCGCCGAGGTGATCTGGTTGGTCGTGAACACGTCCTGGTCCGGGCCCGTCCGGTAGGCCAGCAGCGCGCCCGCGATGGCTGCCTGCGTCTGCGTGTCCTGCGCGCTTGCCGTGCGGTAGTCGGCCAACAGGGCGTCCACTTGCGCCGAGGTGTAGTAGGCCAGCAGCGCAGCCGAGATGGCGCTGGTCGTCTCGGCGTCCTGCGCCGTTCGGTAGTCGACCAGCAGCGCGTCCACTTGCGCCGAGGTGTAGTAGGCCAGCAGTGCAGCCGCGAGGGCCGCGTCCGCCGCTGCGACGGAGTAGCAGTCGGCCGTGATGCTCAGCGTGTCGTCGCCGTTGGTCAGCGCAGCAGAGAGAGGAGCCTCGAGATGCAGGTTGCGAACAACGTTGCTTCCGTGAACGAGCTCCCAAGTCGTGAACCCCGCCCAGGCCGGCGCGTTAACAACTCCGCTGCCGGAAAGCTGCAGGGCGGCGAGCTCCGCGAGGATTGCGTCGAGGGCGCTCTGGAGCGCGGTCTCGCTGGCGGAGAGCGCGGCGTTCGTGGCGTATGAGGCCAGCAGCGCCGCGTCGGCCTTGGAGGCCTGGAGCGCCGTGATGCTATCATGGCGTCCCGGCTAGCAAGCTGCGCTGCGACGAAGGCCTCGGTGGCGAGGCCCCGCAGCGCATTTGCTATCTTAGTGTCTACCTCCAGCGGCGTGTCCAGTCCGTCCACCGTGGAGAGCAGGGCGGCCAGCGCGCTGGCGTCCGCCTTGCCGGCGAGGGCGGCGTCCTGGGCTGCCGTGGTGACGGCGCCCAGGAGAGCGGTCGAGATCTTTGAGTCCACCTCGGAGGAAGTGTCCACGGCCGAGAGCAGGGCGTACGCGGTCAGTGCGCTGGCGTCCGCCTTGGAGGCCTGCAGCCCCGAGATGGCGGCGTCTCTGCTTGCGAGCTCGGAGGCCAGCGCTGCGGCGGTGACGGCCCCCAGGAGAGCGTTGGCCACCTTGGTGTCTACCTCCAGCGGCGTGATCCTCGCCGCTATGTCTAGGGAGTGCTGGTCCACCACCGTCTTGAGACCGTAGTTGGCGGCCACCGTGGCCAGCGTGGCGTTGTTGGCCGAGGCGATGGAACCGTTCATGGCCGCCGTGGTGCTGTAGTTGGACAGCTTCAGGCCCACGCCGTCCGGGGTGCTCTTCGTGGCCACTACGCCCTCCAGCACGTCGAAGGCCGACTGGTCTGCCTTGTTGGAGAGACCCGTGGTCAGCGAGCTCTGCAGCGCTGCGATGCTGCTTCCGTGCGCGGCCACCTGACCGTCCGTGGTGGCCAGGGCCGCAGCCGTTGCTAGGGGCGCAATCGCCGGCGCCAGCGCGCTGCTGTCCAGCTTTGAGGCCAGCTCTGCGGTGACTCTGTCGTCCAGGGACTGGATGGCCGCGGCATTGTTGCCGGCGGCTGCCGTGTTCACCGCCAGGTCCGTTACTTGAGCGTACGGCGTCAGAGCGAGGGCCAGCTGTCCTGCTGTGACGTGCGTGCCGTCAGTCACCTCTCCGTTGTCCAGGACCTCCGGGATGTTGCCGGTGACAGGTCCTTCAAACATGTTTTCTTAGGAGTAGGTGTTATACGAATTCATAACGCAGGGGTGTTGTACTTTCGCAGCGCTCCCTCACAGGTCCTTCGTGGCGTTCCGGCCGTTCGGAGAAGTTTCCTCGTGATTCGGGGGTTGGTGTGTTTGACACACCCCCGCACAGGCGTCGCCGCTTGTTGGTGTGTCAAACACACCAACCCCTCTTCGGCACAAGTTTCCGCACGTGTCACAGTCCGTGGGTGACCGTGAGAGCGAGGCCCGCACCAGGCCCGCACCAGGCCCGCACCAGGGTATTTTCGGAAGTAGCGCGGCTACAATGTGACTCACTTGATCTGACACTCGATTTGACCGATTTTGCCGGTCAAAAGCGGGACCTGCGCACGATGGAGCCAGTGGCCGGCAAAACCGGTCACTGCTTCGTAGTTGGTGCGAGACATCAGCTGCGTGCCCTCCATGTCGGCGGGCTGGCGCGGTTCTGCCAGGCAGGTTCGCCGAAACTTTAGGCAGTTGTCCCCCCACAGGACCACTGGAAATTTTTTTCTCACAGTTGTCGGCTTAGACGACAACCTCGACATTTTTTTTGCTGGGAAGAATCTCGACCTTGGCGTGGGCTCGGCAGGAGGCTTCTATGCCGGGCAGGCGCGGCCGGGCTCCGATGCCGGGCAGGAGTATGTCGTAAGCCTTTCGGCCTGGAACTCGCAACAGAGCATGTCGGATTTTCTCCGACATGCCCGTGTAGGATTCCGCAACATCACTCAAATCATCGGCCGCGTCTTTCTGCGACTTCCCGGCTCGGAGCCGACGACGCCGAAGACCTCCGC